TAATGTATGTACAATTGTATTTGCCGAATGTTCGAGTAGAACAAATTGCAAATAAAGCAGATGTTAGGAAACAAAAAACAAATGATTCCTGATATCTTTAAAAACATGTAAGAATGAGAAATTCAAGCCATGCAATACATGTTTTAAATATAATTTTAAGCACGTGTATAATCCTAAAAATGGAATTGTAGTAACATCGAGAGACAATGGAATAAAATATTGAAATTATGAAAACTAACAAATACTAGAAACACTTCGTGTTACATATTTAAATCCAGTTTAATTTGAAATATTTTTTAACAAAATTCATGATTTTTAGAAACACCTAGATCTGGTTTACATTTAGACAAATTTATACTACTTACAAGCATATCTACAGAACAGGAAGTTTAGTTTTTTATTAATTCGCCTAATTGAAACATTTGTTTCCAGTATGACATTTGGAGTAAAATATTAAGAAATTGAATGTTGGTGAAGGAAAATTTAAGAAGGTGGTACAGAAAGTAGGTGCATCATATGACTATACAGAAGATTACTATGACTGGTAACCTTTTTGATAATCCTTTAGTGCATTTTTTTCTTCTTCAGCGATTTCCCTTAAATATGTTAAGAAAAAAATCATATTTTTTTACAGTCAGATTGTTCTGTACTGAAATTAACATTTAAAATGAAATCAAGAAATGCGGTTTGATGATCAAAATGAATATGCTCTCATAATGGCAGACAAAATCCTAATGCATGTTGTAACAAGCAAAGTGGTATGAAACAAAACAAAACCAAAAAAACACCCAACAAGTTTGCTGTAAATTGCAACAAGTTTCCTGTAAAAATTGTGAATGTTCACGTAATTGTCAAAACTTTTGCTTAATTGGCAAAGATTATTCTCTTTCCTATTATGAGAATCTTGTATTAATGAAAATATATCATATTTTATGTGAAAATATGAATATCCTATTTTCATATTTTGTATATTTATTGGGTTATGTCATATTTTGTATTTTAATAATTGGGTTTGATTTAGTGAACGTATACATTTGTAAGTGAATAATATACTTTTGAAGGGAATTTTTATTGGCTACAAAAATACTCACAATATTTATAATTCTTAATGTAGACATAAAAACCAATTTTATGCACAAAATGCTAGAATTGTTGTTTTCAAAGAGTGCAAGTCTACATGTAAATTGAACAGTGGTGCATAAAATAACTGCACTGTATTTTCAATTACAGTTAATTCAGTACTGTATTTTAAATACACGTTTACCAATGTTTAATTTCGGTTTCATTCTGGTTTACCCTGCAATATTACTTTCTCAATTCCTTTTTGGGTTGTTGACTCATCTGTCATATAGCGCATGGGTTTGGCAGGTTTCCAAGAGTCCATGTTCAGTTCATAGAAAAATGGAATGGAATTTGGAACATTTAATTCCAGTAATCCTTCTTCAGATATTCCTATGTAAGTAAGTAATTATTATGAAAAAAGGCACAAACAGCAAAAAAAATACAGAAAAAACAAAATAACTTGCCTTCTATGTGTTTCATGAGGGCTCTCAAACTATTGCCATGACCCGCTATGAGGACTGTATTCCCTTCCTGGAGCTGTGGAATGATCACTTCAAACCAGTATGGTAAAAGTCTTTGGAGAACTTGCTCAAGTGTTTCAGTAAAGGGAATATTCTCTACCAATTGCTCAGGTGCTTTGTATCGATAATCATCTAAGAATTCATAGAAATACTCATGGTCACATTCCATTGGTGGAGGTGGAACTCTGTAACTTCGACGCCACAAGAGTACCTACATTTATAGAAAATTTCTATACAGTAATTAAAACTGGAAAATATTTAAAATAAAATTGAAAGCCATAAAATGGCTAGTGTAATTTTTATTGACAATGCAATGCTTGGAGAACATGTTTTGAGTTTTTTTTTTCATTTCTAGAAATTATATGTTCCAGGTGACTTAGTGTGATGTGATTACATTTGTATTCCGTGTTTGCATGCTTGCTTGCATGTCATATCAAAAGAGAAGCTCTTCTTCCAGTGCCCCATTAGAAACAGTTTTCTCTTCTGGCCACAGGAGCGCTGAGAGATAGAGAGAGAGGTAATTACTACAAGCCTGGAAGAAAGTCTGACAGTTCCTTCTGAAAGCAATTTCAATTGTTTTTGAATTGCTTAACACCTAATTTAGCTATTAAATGAAAAAATGTGTTTTTTCATAAACTCAAAAGCAAATATTTTAATTGGTCATTACATCCAACAGAAAGAAATATGCAAGAATAACTTCCTCTCTTTCCTCTCTATTGCTCTTTGACTAACTGGTACATTACTTGACTTTTATTCTTTTACAGTAATGTCTCTTTGTCAACTACTGCACCTGGGATCTTTGGTCCACAGAAAAAAGTTTCTTGCTGAACCAATTGCTTGGTGAAAATTCATTACTCCATGAGACAATGCTGTTTCAATCACTGAATTGCATGGCAATAAATTACAGAGTATGGATACATTGAATTAAGGAGAAAAGAAACAGTGTTGGTTTTTGTATTAATATGGAAATAATTATTTTTGTAGTACCTACCATTTCAATAAAAGAAAAATTATGAACATTAGAGGAGTAGAAGAACATACAAAAAATATAGTATCATAATCAGAAATTCTTGAAAAATTAAATTTAATACATTTCACAATATTACTATTGTAAGTTACCCATCTATATTCCATGTAAAAAAAAATTAAAATTTTCCAGCGAATGTGATGGATTTTGACTGAAACAAGCTGCAAGCATGGAGAATTCAATTGTCTAAACAGTTTGAGGGATCTCTTTGTAGGCCAGAAGGCAGTTTGAGAATAGGTGGTCAAATCTGTATTGGGTACTAGTTCCTACACAAGGGTGCACTTTACTTCACAAATTCTGGAGAAAAGTGTTATAGAAAGGTTCATTTACATTAATGATAATTTATATTTTTAAATGAGTGGCATATTCTTGTTAAGAGTATTTGCGTACCTACCTTATTAATATAAATGTATGTAACCTTTTAGTAATGAATGGGTCTAAATGGTCGTATTCAACTGTTGAAATGTTTGTTACTGTACTAAGTGATTATGGAATTAACATGTCTTGGGTAATCTTTAGGAAATACTGCATGGACACTGCAGACACATTAAGTTTGTAAAACAGGTGATAAAAAGATTGCTTGCAATTTAATGTAGACACATATGTGATGTATGATTCACTTTGACCCAGACATGAAACAATGTTCTTTTGTTTTCTTGGATAGTGTTGGTTTTTTATTGTTCTTATCTGCAGGGTTTCTTTTCATGCTACTTATACACCCTCCCTCCTTTTCCTTCTGAGTAACGGTTGTTATTTTTGCATAGACGGTCGAATCGTCAACACTTCAACATAGGGTTTAATGTCCCAACAGGCAAATATCTTAACAAAATATTAAGTCGAATCAGGAATCAATTGATGACTTAGAAAATTATCCTAGTTTTAGAGAAACAGATGAAGACTGAATTTCTGTTGCAAGTGAAGAAAGTTATGTGTATAAAAAGTTAATTAAATGCTTTTATTTTTCGTATTGAGAGCATTTATTTAAGCTATACAGACTTTGGTAAGGCATTTGATTCTGTCAACACCTCATTACTATTAAAAAAATTGAAAGTATTTGATTTATCATATTAGTTGTTGCAGTAATTTTCTAATTATCTTGTAAATAAAATTCAGTTGTTAAATATTATTTAAATTAACTATTTTGGGTTGTTTTGGCACTATATAGAATGTCTCAGGGTTCTCATTTGGAATCATATTTGTAACTTTTTTAACTGGTGTAGTTTCACAATTAAATTGATGTTAATCTTAACCAAAAGTATTGAAAAAATAGATGTACCTATTTAATTTTCTTTGAAAGGTAGGACTACATACTTCAATTATTTTTTAAATACCTACTGTTGTGGTTTGTCTTCTCTTTCATCCACTGAAAGGTACATGTATTGTGTGCTATGTGTTACCATCTTTTTAGTAGTTTTCTGACCAAATAATTTCTTTAAAACATAATTTTTTTTCCATCCTTTTCTACTATCCTTTTATTAAGTTGTTTGACTACTAGCCATGAGTATCTTCTTCTGTAACTGATTTAATTTAAAACGAGTTAATTGCTAATTTGCTTTAATTTCATTTGTTTTGTTATACTTAATTTCCCCTGTACATACTAATGTTTTCATATTCCATAAGTTTGTGTTCCATGTCAAGTTATGACATTCAGTTTTTGCATATCATTTCCAAAGAAGCCATTTAACTTACATGAAGGTTTATAAAATTTCAGAAGGATGTGTTCCTTTTCTTTGGTAGAGTTTGGTTGATTATGTACATACAAAACACTATATTCCTTTCAAAATGTATTTCTCTTTGTAGAATTTATCACAGTGTAAAAATCTAAAGAAACAAACTTCTTCAATTATTTTAATGATTAGTATTAACAAATGCCGTACTCGTGCCACTTTCCAAAGTAGCAATTGAAAATTGATCAACTTGGTCCTACTTCAAAGTCATTAGTTCAATATGTTTGTGAAAAAGTTTTGAATATTTGTATTATTATGATGTGTCACACATACCTGCTCCTCTCCATATTTGCCCGCCATTTCAGATTTACACCAACTAGTTAATGCACCATAATGTTTGGGATTTAAACGCCAGGAAACCTGAATTGGAATTTCAGGTACCTCAAGTTCTTCTAAAATAATTTTCAAGGTATCATTTGCACGAGAAAGCAATGATGTATGAGCCACATCTACTTGAAATTTCTTTTTTTTTATCATAGCAGCTGCTGCAATTGCCTGTTCTTTACCTGAATTCACAAAAAAATTTACTTAATGCTTATACTATTTCTTTGATATGTGGCCAGTAAAGAACTAAAATTTAAAAAATTTTTCACCATTTTCAGTCAAAGGAGAATCATACCATCCGCAAAATAGGTTTTGTGCATTCCATTCACACTCTGCATTTCTCACCAAAAGAAGAATAGCTCGTTTTCTTACCTCTTCTTCATCATCTGCCATTTTACTAATGTAATAACTCTTACTTTAGAATCTAACGCAGCCTGAAATTCAAAAACTTGGTTTTATCTGGGAAACATTTTCTTAAAATGTGTTGTTCTATTAAGAAGTGGAAAACATTTCACATAATCCAATATGAACATTTCAATTTTATTGAAATATTGACACAACCATTTTTTTGGGGAGGCAGTATGTATAATATGTTGCACATGCTTTGTTTCCCTTATAAAAGTCATACAGTTGGAATAAAAGTTAGCACTTTGCAGGGTTTACTCTCTAATGTTTGTGTTAAATATTTTTCCACTGAAAATGATGTAACTGTGAATTGGAAGTTAGAAGCTGATTTGATGAGCAACTCTGTTATTTGTCTTCAAACTTAACCTCAAAACTTACATATTCTTAAATAAGTAAATCAGCACATAAATAGTAATAGCAACTTAACTTTAATTTTCTCTCAGAGAATAGATTGGTAAATGTAAATTGAGTTTATTGCAACCGAGATTGTTCCAATTATAACTTAAAACACTATCGAATATTAAAAAAAACTTCTTAAATAAGTGTTTGTGCTGATATGAAAAAATTAAAAAAAAATAACAACTCTCGTCCGAAAAATAGTTTAAATTTGATGTGAAAAATCAAACCATTTTGAAAACATGTGATTACGTATTCTCATATGTTATTCACACTTCTGATGTATAAAAAAAAATTAAATTTTCTAAATGGTGTGGACCTGGGCTAAAGTTTACTTACGGGGGTGATCTTCGCGATATTCGTTCTTCATTTTTTTATAATCTGTTGTCAATCTATTAATTATAAGTTTTCATAAGTGGTTTTGCGGTTCTCACACACCACCGATCTTTATAAATGAGGTCTCTAAAGAAAGAGAATTTCACGAAGACGAGACGAATTACACTTTGGCTCTAAAAACATTAACATTTGTTTAAAAAAAGGTACACAAATATTCATGTCAACTGTCAGCTATATCACAAAATAACTTCTAAACAAAGCGTTCTCGGGCTTAAATAGAATTATTATTAGAATTATTATACTATATTTTTTTAGGCCAATGGCCGCGAAAGTCACCTTCACTCACTATTATCAATTTTTTACTCAACGGTTCTATAGGTTTTTGAGGGTACTGATTCCGAAATTGATGTTTGCCACCGCAAAAAAGGCCGGCTTCACAGAAAAAATTTAAATAACCCTAAGAAGTTCGTCCTTTTTTTAGTTATTCGCTCAAATGTTCAAAACTATGCATTTTATCGAAACAATTGTTCTTTACAAAATCAAAGTAAACCTTTTTTTTAATAGAATGCACTCATTAACCTTAAAATTCCGAAAAACACTTTTTCTCGCTATGCGCGCTGAAAAACACTTTTTGGGCCTCTGGCCAAAGCGGGGGAATAGCTCTTTCCAACCATCCTATCTCGCGGCGGCGCCCTAGCTTTACTTTATCATGTTTGAAAACAGTTATTGTGAACAAATAATCAACGTAGTTAAAAGTTTAACACTCCGATACTCATAGAATAAGTAGGAGCGAATTTGCTCGCGCGGAGTATATGTAAGTCGTTGAAACATTCAACATACGGTAAACGGACTTTACCTATTTTTGTATGTGGAAGAAAGCCACCTTCAATCACCTTTATCAATTCTTCAATGGTAAATTGGTATTCCATGTCACTGTTTCCAAGAAAACTGAAAATAATTTGCATCGCTGCTACAACATTTGTACAGAGCCTGACTATGATTTGTGTTTCTGTCTTCTTTGGAGGCTGATGGTGCTTTAATACACATCAAATAAGCATGTGCATCGGCAGCTATCGAATTGTTTGCTACTTCTACGCAGTATACTACAAAACGTCCAAAATAATTATTATGATTTCTCGCGAGTCATAAAACAGTTTCTCTAGCAGCTGATTTCCTCGCAGTGTATACTTTCGTTTTGAGGGAAGCTTTTTGATTTGTTTCTTCGCGATGTCCGCAGATTCCTTCTCTCAAATAAAACAATCAGTTTTGAAGACTGTCAGCCATATATGAACGTAGTTGAAGTAATTCAGCCTCTTTATGAGCTCTCTTCACGAAAGCAGAAATAATTTCTTTCTTTTCCATGTTTCCTCCTGTACATACCTTAGACTTTAATTTATGAGTTACATTTAAAGGGGGGGGGGGAAGAATCTTACTGGCTCTCTGGCTTCGACGAAATATTCCAATCTCCTTTCTTTCACAAAAGTTGTCTGAGTTCTATCTTCCAAGGTTTCATCATAAATAGTCCACACTCTCAAGACATCATGCACACGTAATAAAACAGCAAATATTACAGTTTCATGTTATTTTACAATGAGTTCGTGATGTGAAAAATATCTTTACATTGACTACCGGCCTCGCGCCAGCGCCTAAGGCTCGGTTTTCATTCTCCACTCTGGGTCAGGACCCATGGGCACATTTATTTTAGACAATGATACTTGTAACAATTGAATAAAAATAATCATTTTATCTTGGTAAATAGACATTGATTATTGTTGAATCCATTTGAAAGTGTTAATTAAAAAATACAACGCACATACAAATACAAAAGTAAATACAATACATACAATACAAAAACAATACACAAATACAAAAAAAGCATTTTGAAGATAATCTTATCTCTCCTAACAAGACAATCACAATTGTGGAAGTCTTGCAATTATATTCAATCTCCCTATGTAAATTAAGAAGCTAATCAATCATTAACAATCTTTGAACTGTAATTTGAAGATAGAAAAGAAAAACAGTAATTCAGAACTGAATGTCACTTATTGCTGAAGAGTCAATAATTTGCCAGTGCGTTGTGAAGGATAATATTTCAGGTGCAGTCACGAGCCGGTGCATGAAATACTCCGAGGAATAATTTGCATGTTATAGATTTCTAAAACTTGCTACAAGGATCTGGGTTTCACGCGCGAGAAACTGAATAGCTGTCGTTTTCTTGGGAATTATACAGTACTACATTGCTGTCGGAGATTGGCGAAAGTAGTCTAGGTTTGAATGGACCCCACAATGTGTTAGTAACAAAACTATCTTTTGAATTACAGCTGGAGGAGTTCAGACCAGGAAAAGGGAGAGCTGGAGATATTTTGTGTAAGAACAGGAGGTATCACTTCTCAGTAAATATCATTCTCTGTCAAATCGGTTTTCTTTCTCCATTGCAACGTTACATCTGGTAGACAGACTCAATGCATATCTTTCAATGTAACCCATATCTACACACTCTATGGTAAACTTTTTAAAATAAAACTATTTATCTTTGTATTCTCCATCGACAATTACATGATTATCGGCAAATCATTCATATTGATATCTTGTTAACACGTCAGTGATTGGCTAATAATGATATAACTAATATTCGTAATTGAGAAAACAACAATCACATTTTTTAAACAGACTATACATCGACAAATTGATATAATCGGTGTTGTCCGTTGATTCCTTACCCTCCGTTTATTCTATAGTGATACTCTATTTCTTTTTTAACCTGAATTTTGCATTTCCGAACATCATGAAATTATTTGGTTCAATATTTTTGTTTAACGCCTAAAATGTCCTCATTAGTGTTATTTTTATTTTTACTTATAATTTGGCACATATAAACAAAATATATTGTTGGTAAAAGTTTATGATGAATATGCTGTATTGAACAGAACGTGTTATCGTAATAATTTTCCTATAACCCTCTTATTTTTGTTACATAGAGCTTGGATTTACAGATACTTCACGCGAGCAAATACGACCCTCCGTGAGTATCGGAGTGTTAATAATTAAAAAAGGCCAAATATTTGTTCACAATTGCTGTTTTCAAGTCTGTAAAGTGAAAGAGTGCCGCCGCGAGATAGGGTGTCTGGAAAGAGCTATTCCGCATGGGTACGCGGAGGTAGTAGGGGAAAACTGGTGCTATGTAACGACCCAAGGAACAAACTCTTTAAATTAACTAAAGTAAAAGAGCTTGAATTAAATGAACAACAAAAATAAAAACGCGGTAGCCTACAATACTGCGTGAATTAATGAAAGAAAGCAAACATATTTAAAATTATAGAAAGAATAGCGCAAGTCATTCGACAACTGCCAACGATCACAATCCACGATTTAAATGTTGGCGGTATTTGGAAGTCTGCACATCAATGCCTAGCTGTAAACTCGCATTGTAAATAATACACCGTTTGATATTAAACTTACGGTGACGGTTCGCCGAGATATTAAATACGTACACATCCTTTGAGCAACATTCTCATGTACGGAAGTGAAGTCTAATCGTACAGAATTGTTTCTAATGGTAACAAATGGTATTTATTACTCAAAGGTGAAAATATTACGTTTATTATTTTTTGGCTCTGAATTGCTTTTCTTGAGGTACGTAAGAATGCAGAAAATAATCCAATATTTTTTAGTATATAAATGTTTCAATTTTCGCATTCCAGCAAGCTGGCACCCTGTCCTCCCCCCAAACCCCCTTTATTCCTCATAACAAATCCAGGAAAGTTTAATGTTGAAAAGAGTAAGGTTGTACTTGCCTGATCCTGTATTTTCACATGGAAAACTTACTTGTCTTTTTCAAGAATAAAATCCTTTTCTAATATTTTGGTATCAATGTAAGCGAAAAGCTAAATACCAAGGAACGTCAAATGTTTTTAAGGATGTGTGAATTGATCGAAGAACATATCCCTATAATACTGAATAAACTTTATTGAAAATTTGTTCCCAACTTCAATTGCATTGTTTTTATTTTTGTTTAATATTGTGTAAGTCGAAGTTACATTTATATATTCTTTTAATAAATGAAGACCTTTTCATTAAACAATTTTTCTTCTAATGGAAAGGGTAGGGAAAGGGCGGGATTAACATGCGAGAGTTTCTGCACAGGTACGCTCATGGCAATGAATTAGGTGAACCAACACCACCTAGAATATACAGTATAGTATCTAGTGGTGTTGGGTGAACCTAGTGAATATTATGGAAACAAAGAAGTGGTGTCGCTACAATGACTTTTGCCTAACAATGATCAATGTTAATTATGCGTTATATTACACCTATCTTGGTTTGTTTGGACAGACTTAGTGTCTTGTAGGTTAGCTATTAATTTTAGACCTATAAATTTACTGCCGACATTATCAAAAACTTTTGAAAAACGATTACTAAATAGATTGAATAAATTCCTTACAACAATAATGAAATTCCTGATAAACCATTTTGATTTAGATTAAACCACTCATGTACTGATCAGATTTTACGGTTAACTGAAAATATTGCTGATGGTTTTCAAACCAAAAAGCATGCAATAGCAATCTTTTTAGATATTACCCAGGCATATGACCGAGTGTGGCGTAGAATTATTATGTATAAACTAAAATTAATGCGAGTTCCTGATTATATCCAATAATTGATTTATGGCTTCCATTATGAAAGATCTTTCTTTGTAAAAAAATAAACATTTTATCAACACAACGAAATATTACAGCAGGAGTACCTCTGAGTTCTGTATTATCTCCGACACTTCTCAATATTTATATTTCCGTTATTCCTAGAATGACATAGGCCTACAGTACATTTTCTCTTTTTGGTGATGATACAGCGTTATTTACATCATACGATACTGGTTAATAGCTCATAATTGAATACAATATGATATTAAATAAATTTTAATTTCGACTAATCAATGGAGAATAAAATTAAATCCAGCCAAAAGTCAAGCTAAGATATTTACACTTCGAAGGCCTAAGATTCCCCCACATATAAATATATATATATAA